ACATACCAGATCAATTTTTCTTTTATTATTCATTTTATTTTTAATATTAAATGCAATACAAATAATTGTGTTCGTCCTTTTTTTGTTGTTTATTTTGGCGCAAATCAAACGTTTTCTTGAATCAGCTGTTTATTTGCTAACTCCTACTAAATGTTGTCTGTTTACTTTTTTCAGTATTATCGCAAAAGAGAGTAAGAAAGGCTTACTCTCCGAACTAGAACTTACTGAATAAATGTTACTGGAAAAGTAGCCAGACACACCGAGTATTGTCCATATATATTTGAACATAATCACTGTAAAAATCAATGCCGTTCGACAATGACAGCAGTGTTTTTCCCAATCGAAGAGCATGGCAATAATGATACCAATCCCATACGTTAAGTATCATAACCGAACTGAGAATACGAGAGTGTATTTAATTCTAAAAAATAGTTGTAAAGTTTATGTTATTTTTTTTAACAAAGAATAGCTTGTATAGTATTACCACATTAGGCTACCATTCTATACCACATTACCCGCCCATTTCTTTAATGATGTGAATGTGATTTTTTTAAGTTTATTTGAAATATCACTTAAGCGAAGACTTACATCAAGTCTCCAAAATGTAGCTATACCCTATTGCCCGAACTTATTCTACTATTTGCAGGCATCGCGACACCGTGCTGTGCGTTGCACAATGTCATCGTTTCATGCTTAATGATTTCTAAATAAAACCAAACATAAATGTTAGCATCAGTGCGTGTCCTTCACTCCTCGCCCCTAGGGCTGCATTGGTGTGAATGTGGTTTTAAGTGTTTACTTAATCCAAACGTGTATTCCTGCAGTGTGACATGGCTGCTCCACTGCCGTGCACAGTCAAAGACGTTTGCAAACACAAACATGGATGCCACGTGACAAATGCTCAAAGTACGGACGGCAATGACACCATAAAAAGAAGAACTCAGAATTGCACTGTGTCCATAATGTAGTTTCGGTGATGCTGAATGTGTGTGGGTTTTTCTGGGTTGGTCGTAGAGTGGGATGAACAATGCTTTCGATCTCACAAGACTACAAAAGGCGCACAATATATCCAACAGCTATAAAATTGTCCTTAAGAGGATGCAGTCAGTGGGACAGACTATGTTTTGTCGCTTCCTCGTGTCGCTTCCGTGGCTGTTGTTGTTTTTTGGTTCGTTTCACTCACTTGTCTGAATATTTTGTACACCATTTGTTATTCAATTTAACATCAGATGAAAAGGTTGCAATAACCTGCGCCGCATAGATGTAAGCTCCAGCATTGTGGAATGGAATACAAAAGCAACGCTTGCTGTTCTAATGAAAAATTCATAACGAAATTTATTCGTTTTGATGACTGGTACACACTTTTGTCGGAGTGTGGTTCTATTCTGCAAGATGGCATTCACACAACAACTTCGAGTCCGTTTTCAAGTCGTTGAGCGCAAAGTCCTAAAAAGCCTGTGTCCGAACATAACATAACATTACGTTATGAATGCGGTTGCAGGCGCGAGCCTATCTGCAAAACAACTTTCTTCGATTTGTGCATTACATTACCACTACTTACTGCTATCATTTGTTTGTTTGTTTCATTTTCAGATAGAGGGAATTTCATTCGGTATCAATTAGCGTTGGGCTTGCTCGGAATGTCGCAACGTTCGACAGAGGTGCAGTGGCTTCAGTTGGTCGAGTTGATAGATTATTTTGAACAAAGCCATGCTTCGTTGAAGGTAAGAACTTGTTGGATTTCTCCATTGTTTGCATTTCGTGTCAATTTTTAAAGTATAGAATATCTTTATCGGCACATACCGATCTAGCTAGCTATTTGTTGGCAGGTACATTTTCTGCTTCATCCATATTCACAATCATCTTTACTCTCCGTTTCGTTGGGTGGGTACTTGGCAAATAGTTCGTAGTCTTAATTAAGTGTCTGTTAGTTGTCGCTGTCATCGCCTATATATCATGTCCATCTGGCGCCAGTGTCACCGATTCAAAATATGTGATAGGTGGTGGAGAAGCACACGAATGGAAGTAAATGGATGCACTTGTTTTCTATAATTAGGCTATAAATCACAACGAAGAGAAACCTTGTATAGTTAAACAAGAAGAAACATGTTCTTCATTTTTGTAACAGATTTTATATAGCCGATAAATTATCGTTTAAGATGACCCCCCATTCTCGGTTTCAAAAAATTTAAGTTTGTATTTTGATTGAATTCGAACAATGTCCCTATAAAACTTCAAGTGAAAATCTCAAAAATTTTTGAAGATATAGCCGATTTATTGTGTTAGCATAAAGTGGCGTTTGAATATTTTTTAACAGTTTGTATTTCAAAACACTTAGATATACAATAGTACAAGATAAGGGCAACTTGAGGTGAATAACAAAAAACAACTATGTAGGTGGTGGCTTCTTCTGCCAAATTTAAAATAAATATACGCAACAAGTGGTTGTGTTTATTTTACATTTTTTCAACACATAACTAGAAACGTCAAATATAAATGAAATGTTATGATTTATTTCCAAAATACAGTAGGGAATACCATGAAATATTTGTTTCATCCACAACAAAGTAATTATTTCCAGACGGACTCGTTAAAACATCAACATAATTTCAATTAAATTTGAATATATATTACAATTTATTTTGAATTCATTTGACATTGTATTCAAAAAATTCACACATATACACAAAATATATATATTTTTGATTTGATGGAACAAGCTACCTTGAGAAAAAATTGTAATCAATTGGTAGCCGTGCCCTACCTTGTAATAATTTGACCATGGATCTGTACTCTTAAGAGATTTAGTGCGAAGATAGAAAATTATTGCTTGCAATTTTTCCATAAAATTTTAAGAAAAAACATCGACTTTGAAGTGGACACGTAATTAAAAAATCGTGTGATTATTTACGTTATCACAATTTGCTTAAAAAAATATTTAGAAACCAACTTCAATTTGGTATATTAACCCTTTGAGCCCCGAATTTTTTTCCGCAATCTTAGAAGAAATTTCTGTTCACAGATTTAATGCAACTATCCTAAACAGGATATGCACAAAATTTGACATCGATATATCCTTGCATTCGGGAGATACAGTACATTCCTTCGGAAAAATTAAAGTCCAATATCAAGAAAACCAAATGCGAAATCGTCAGAAAAATCATTTTAAATTATTCTCTATATTCAATTTTACAAGAATCAAAAATAATTCTGAGGGTAGAATTTGTACAATTTGAATACGAAGCGATTTAAATAATTTGGACTGTATACACAAATTAGTACTGTACACAAATTTACCCTCTTCTCTATATCGAAAAGCTCATAACTTTACCAAAATTTTGATTTTTTATATTTTTCTTTTCATATGTGTCATCCATAATCAGGTCTTGACATATGAAATCCAAATAATACATATCTACTAGCTGCATATAAAATATAAGTCCTAAAACATCTTGCCAAAAAGAGTTAAGTAAATAAAGTGCCGATACGATTTACAGAAAAAATTGCCATCAATTTGTACAGTACACATAACTAACATTGGGAAATCGCCCTTAATATAGAAAATAAAGGTCGGAATGTACCAGAAATTTCTAGAATTAGTAGATACCAATAAATAATGATTAAAATAAAAACGTATTTGAAATAAATTATACGGGCATACTCTGGCATTCACTTCCACGGCAAATACACACACGTCGAGCTGTTTTAACACACACTTTACATCCGTTTGAAGTGAATTCTTTACACTTAAGTTTTCATAGTGAGAGTCGGGTGCATTCATGTTTTTCTATATAAAAGAATATTTTTTTGAAATAAAAAAGGCACAGGTTAATATGTTATTATTGCGTATAATTTGTTTAAAATCACAAAATTAACATAGAACGCCATTAACACAAATTTTAAATAGATACTAAGGTTTGACACTATCTGCACTTCTGTACAGATGGATTGTATTCCGATTGTAAATGTGGGAAAGAATGCAATACATTTTCGTTTTTCATTAATTAGTACGTCATTTGGCGTTTCAACGTCTCGTCTGTCTGACAAGGCTTCTGTCACCACCTGTTTCTTGAGTTAATGCTTCCACTGTGGTATATTTTTTAGTGTGAATGGAATTCCCTAATTTCGCTAAAAATAGATGTACAAATGAAAACTGCAGTCTTGTTGTAGAAAATAAATACTTTAATTTTAACTTTTTTTCATAACATTGTACGTCATTTTCTTTGCCTCCATCTGTTTGTACAATTATTAATTTCTCTTTTTGCTTTAAATCGTCGCTTCATGTGCATCTTACTCTACACTTTTTATTTTATTTATTTATATGTATGTATATCATTCAATCACAAACTTGCAACATTTAATTCGTTTTAAAACTTAGTTGGTATTTATCGTCATTTGCTTCATGACAAGCAGTTTTGTTTTCACATTTGTTTTATTTGTTGTCTCCTTAATATCTGTGTATCCAATTTGTAGTTAATTGCAAAATAGTGAATTTATAATTCCCTATGGGGAGGTGTACGCTTTATGTGGTGTATATGTGTATATGTATACACATATGTGCTGGTTTTTATTTAAGAATTTGTTAAATTAATTTTCCACAATAACATGAACGTATTACAATTGCAGGACGTGCCTATTTACGATGGGTTTGCCAGTGATTTGTTACAATGGCTAATGGAGAAGTTTCAGTTAACACCTGAGAATGTGTACAATCATCTGCGAGGACGGACCGCTCTAATGTGCACGTCTTCGGGTGTCTGCTACAGTCCCAATGACGTAGTTTGTTTCTGCTGTCCATTTTGAGTTTCTTATGATGAAGAATCTTGCTGGTAATCTTTTGTTATACATTTCAATGCAAGTGGGGAGTAATAAATAAACGTTGTCCTGGTAAGGACAGCGATTCATGGAAAACGTGTTGAAATTCCTTAAAATATTTGAAGAAGACTCGAGGGACACCTACGTCTCATAATTTATGTCTGCACAAGTCTTTACTCCATAACACGACTGATAGACTGACAGACGCATAGTGGTGCCGTATACGACGTTGAGAAAATATTTGATTTGATCTTTTTCTTAGTATAATGACTCCCTATAAGTCATAAAAACATGGCCTCATGGTACATATTTCCTCTTCATACATTGAAAACCTTAAATTTAGCAGTTTATGCAAATAGGGCGGAAATTTTATATGGAGGATATATCCAAACATAAGCCTTCGTAGAAAATTATCCGCTTAAATATGTTCTACCCTAAGAGAACCCATAGAATGCGGTTAAATCCTTCAAAATGCCGAAAATATGTACTTTTATATCTGCATATAATAAGCTTTTAAAAACCCCGTAATGTGAAATTACAGTTACCTTAGTGGGAAACTGTGGTTATAACCTATCGAATATTGGGGAGTTTCTTTATATGGACCAATTTATGGAATGTGATATTCACAGTACCAAACCACCTAGGAGGAGTAGCAATGTACGTGCAAAATTTCAAAGCTCAATATTGTGAGCTGTATCGTTATTTAATCAGACAGGCGGACATGGCTAAATCCATGACCCAATGTTTGTTGTTGGTCGTTTGTACGTGTAGTTTATCTTCCATCGATTATCGGTGGCATGCGGCATGTCTGAAGGATCATTTAAAAATGTAAACACTGCTAGTCCTATGAATATAAACGTGTGAAGGTATGTGCGAAGTGTGAATTAACAACTATGCTGACCATCGATAACAGAACAGGTAATTATACACCCCAGCTTATAACAATTACTTTTAAATGATATACTTAAAACCGCATTCGGCTAACCCCCGCACGCGTGCTCTGTTTGAGAGTATTTTGTGTGAAAAAGAGCGTAACAAACGGTTGTCTGCCTGGCCATGACTTCAAATCTTCTCTGAACTATCCTACCGTGTGATCGAGGTCTATGGAACTGTGAATATAAATTAGGTATGTTTACTTTTCCAGTACAATTTACTCAGTAAGAATTTACTGAAAGTAAAAACGAAAAAGAGAGAAAATTGCAAAAAGTAAACGAAACGAACTTATTACAGCAACAAAAGTGTTGGCACAAAGAATGCTTTAAATGTTCGCTTCATGTGCATTTTACTATACACTTTTCATTTTATTTGTTTATAAGTATATCACTGTATCACAAACATGTAACATTGAATTAGTTCCGAAACATAGTTCGTATTTATTGCCATTTGCTTCATGACCAGCAGTTTTGTTTTCACATTTGTTTAATTTTTTGCCTCGTTAATATCTGTTCATCTAATTTGTAGTTAATTGCAAAGTAGTGAATTTATAATTTCCTATGGTAATACAATGACACAAATAAAAACGTCTACTTTTATGTGAATTAACTTAGTCATTCTCGAGGGCATTGGGATATACGAAAAGCTAAACATAAAGAGGTGTCAGTGAAATGGAACATAGGTATGTTATGGAATATCTGAATGAACATACTCGGCGAACTATCTGTGGTTCTCAGCTCTGCATTGAGTTCAGCATGCGGACGTGTTTTTACACCCTATTTTTGACGGTGTTAGGTACAAATATATCTCCGATGTCAAAAAATAGTCTGTAGAAAGATGTTGAACCTAATTTAGCTGGACTCTGTATGCTAATTAAGCCCGACTATGTAACTCTAGAATTTTAGTGGTTCCATAACAATTCAATTACAATTTACAATTTGAATAAGCATTTTCTCGTGGGCAATGTAAATGAAAAGGAATGAGAAGAAATGAACCAGTAAAAAGACAAATCTTCCTATATGTGTGAATGGACGCTGTAAAATACAACAATAACATGGGAAACGCACAGTACGAAATATAAAGGAGCGGCAGACGTAGGTACGGCAATTCATGAAGAAAAATACTGTTGCTGTAGCATTAATAAGCTCTTCTCCTCATGATTTGCTTGCTATTCGTATTGTGAATTGAGTTTTTCACTACATTTGCGAAGATTTATGTTTTCATTACCCGCATTTTTTCTTTTTCACTTTTGGAAACGAATGTGGTCGCTCGCCTCAGATGTAGCTGAGCTTAAGGTTTGTGTGTTTTCGCTGCAACCAATTTAAATAACGCGTACGGAGTGAAAAACATAAGATTAAGTTTCCAGACTTTCTTTCGATTGGGCAGTCGTGTTAGCAGATGTTAAATCTAAAATATAATTTTGGAAAACATATTTAATCAAATTAATTCTTATAGCTTACAACATGAAATCCAATAAATTTGTATTCGGATGTTTTGTCCATGGTCTAATAACGATCGATCCAATTTGCTTGTTGGATACAACGAACAGTGCAGACAAATAACTTGAGCTGACATCTGTCAAATTAAAAATAAATATAGTCGAATACGGACAAGCAAAAGTCCTTTTTGGCAAAAAAAAAAATCGGGTAACATTTACACTGCGTGCCAAATTTCAGTTTTTTATTATTACTGGGAAATTCAAGAAAGAGGGGCTAAAAAGAAGACGCGTGTATCGGCGTTTTGAGAGTTTATGCCGGGAGGTAACCTAAAAAGGGGACAAAATTCTCCGAACTGCCCTCGTACTATGTTTACTGCATGGTCTGCCTCAACAAGCCTTAACAAGCGCATTGAGAGTTTATGCCGGGAGGTAACCTAAAAAGGGGACAAAATTCTCCGAACTGCCCTCGTACTATGTTTACTGCATGGTCTGCCTCAACAAGCCTTAACAAGCGCATTAGAAAAAATGCAAAATCCAAAAGACAGCGAAAAGAGAGAGCTAGTTTGAAAGTTCTATGTTCTGAGAACTTGCTGGGCAAATTTCTTCTGTAAGATTTATCCAACACAATTCAATGCAATCAGACGTTAATTTTAAATGTTGAAAGTGAAACAATATTTTTTATTCTATTACATTTTTCTTTAATAATCTTAAAAAGTTAAATTAAAAGAGTTAAAAAGTTAATTTTTTCGTTATATTTGGGAAAATCTTGCTTTTCCATAAATTAGTTTTTATTACAACATCAATTTGGCGTTTATAAATTTTTGAAATCGAATAAATTACCTATTTATTTCTAAAAAAACTTTCACTGCAAGTTTATTTCAGAACATTTATTCAGTTTGCAATATTTTGACATTGTTTAGTAGTATTATTATGACACCACGATGTGTATATCTTGCGGAAATTTTCAACGACATGGGAATTAGTTTAGCAGAAAAATTAAGTTCAATCGTAGTTGAGTATTGTATCATAGTTGGCCCCAAGGTATATTAAGAAAGTAACCGTATCAACATGATATGTCATAACAATTTTTTGTTGCTGTTTTTTAAACAATTTCCAGAGCCTATTAAATGATGTCTGCCGGGTGGCGAATTCATGGCTTAGTCTTCTCTTGCTGTCAACATTTTAGTTGCGAAATACCAACCAGAACAGGACTGCGGTAGGCTATGGAGAAGACCATGGAATCAAAAATAAGACTTTGAGATCGAAAAGACTATTTGGTTCGATGTGGCCTTTTTGTCAACATTACATATTGTTTTGAACAATGTTATGTGAGGACATGAAAAAAGTAATGAAAGCATCGGCTGAAGCTACCAACATTATTGCATTTAAGGCACACTTTTTACGTCTTTCTATTCAAAAAATGAGACATTTACACAAACATTAACATTTTTAAAAATGTAAAAAAATATATAGCCAATACGGGGAGTAACACATAAAAATTTGATATTCATGACAAAATCCATTTAACTGACGGAAATCTAATTGATGACATAGTTCTAACACAAACAAAGAAAACACGCACACACATTCCACTTCTCAGTCCTTTCCTCGCCCGCAGTGTGCACGAACTCTCATACGGAGTATACAAACTGTCTGGTAATTTTAACGTTAATTGACAATTGATTAAAATCAAATGCTTGACACGAAAAAAAACTATATACATATAAACAGAATTGACCAAGCAAAGTTTGATGTTGATGGCGACAAAACCATCTACCAGAGAACAAACGTTAGCGGCATGACAGACACCGACTGAAGGACATGCTGAATGCGTTGTATTAAAGGATCTGAAGATAGATAGGAAGAACAAAAATAACAATAAACCCCAGAAAATACACACAATCGCTTGTCTGAGTATACTCCTACACATTAATGGACGTTCTTCCTGCAAGCCACCAAAGCAAAGACACCAAATGAAAAAAATGTAGCCAATACAGAACCGAACTCGGTGTCTTCTCGCGCAAATGACAATTCAACAGGATGTTAAGAGAATGGAGCCTGAGAATTTAAGAGGAACTTTTGTTGGTTGAAGGATAGAGAGCGAGACGAACTCCGGCATTAATTTCGGAGTTATTCCCATTGCAGGACGGTTTTCATTCATTTTAAAAACACTGGCCTCGTGTTGACCGGACTTGCGCACAGCGGCTGCATTGAAGCAATTACCCGAATATATAGAATATTCCGAAAGTATTTCGGTTCAGTTTACATTTCACCGTCGCGTAGAACACATAAACGAATTCCGTAGTTCCACATGTACTGACCAGAGCGTTTGTGTTGGTGTGTGTTCCACCAAATAAAACAATCTGAATTTGCTTAAGTTTTGCAAAAGCCGGTAGTCAAAGAACGTTTTTAAGTGCGCATTTAAGTGGTTAACAATAGTTAAACAATACAATAACAAATACACACACACAGTTACAACAACAGTAAAAAGCATAAGATGAAAGTATGAAAATTGATGTCGGCCGCGGAAGTCGTTTTGCTAAATTTCAACTGCACCGGCAATAAACAAGACGGATTATTTCTGTGAAGTATGTTTCCATCCGAACGGAGGTTTATAAATACACATGCACGCATGTATGTACATACATGCTAGACACACACCACCTGCTTTTGATTAAATCATCCTGACTTGTTTATTTTGTGAGTCATGCAAAATGGAGAGGTTTCAGTCGTCCAATCAACATTTATTTAGGATTATCTCTCAGCTCAGAACAAACGGTATTTTGTCATTACTTCAGTATCGAAATGTATAAAAGATGCTACAAAAAAAAAAAAAAAAAAAACAAACAAATACACACACGGATACATACTTCTCCATTCATGGGAGCACCATAAAGTACAAG